TTCACAAGATGGTGTCTTATAACTATATCTTAAGGTCTAGTTACACTTTTCGTGTACTAAAAATATGCTAAAGGGACTATTACACTATTACAATGATTTACATGATTTATTAATCTATTACTTAAGCTAGCCTATACAACGCTACTACAGCTCGGCCATCCTGATGAATAGAATCACCTGATTCTGCTCAGCATATATATACGTGAGCTTATGACGTAAAATTTTCTCTACCAAAAAAACCGTATCCTATCTTTTGGAATTCGCATTTTCGCAATTGTACCACGGTTTCAGATTTGCGACTGACCAGACACCTTTGTATGGTATTTGTGTTTGCTGGAAGCCCTCTACATCCTCCACTAGATAGCGATCGTTGTCGAGAATTTTAGATATCTTATACGGCCCTTTGAACTTAGGGATTAGTTTGCTAGACGCTCCTGTCTGCGAGCTAATATTAGAAATTACTACATAATCTCCTAACTTAAAGTTGCATGGTTTTTTACGTTTAACATCTGAGTACCCTTTATTATAAGTTTGTGCTTTACATTGTTCAACTTCTGCTTGTTTTCTAAGATCTTCTATATTTTTGTGGTTCGGAGTGTTTAATAATTCTAACACATTCTCGCTCACACTATCTATGACCTTTCCTTTCTGTCGGACCCCGAATAGCAATACACTGGGTTGCTCTTTGGTTGCCTTATGAACCGTATTATTCATAGCATGTTCTACTGACTCCAAGACATTTTCCCAGCCCACCTCTTTCTCAGCATCTAACATCTTAGCTATCATTGGACCTAAACTTTTATTCACAATTTCGGCCTGACCATTTGCTTGAGGTGAGCTTGTTGCTACTTTTATGTGTTCTATGTTATTATCTTCTAAGAAATTTTCGAACTCTCTCGACGTGAAACAAGTTCCCCGATCTGATACTATAGACCTCGGTCTGCTATACGCTCGAAAATAATCTTTTAGGGCTAAAACAGCTTCATTCGACGCTGTTGTCTTGGCCGGATACAAACGAACGAACTTCGTGAATGCATCGATTACTACCAACACGTGCTTGAACTTTGTTCCCTTGCTATGGATCGGTCCGTAATGATCAATGTGCACCATTTCGAATGGTTTATTTCCCTTTGGAATCATGTGTAACATTCCTTCTTTCTTACCGCTTTTATTTGAAAAGGCTATACACTTCAAGCAGTTTTCGATATGAACGGTTGCCTTTTTCCTAACATTCGGAAACCAATAACTTTTCCCTATAGTCTCTACAACCTTGTGTACTCCTAAGTGCCCCATTTCGTCGTGGTATTTATATAGAACATGTGGTTCCATGGACTCTGGCACATAGAAGAGTAAATCTTTATCTTTCTTTTTATACACTACCCCATTTCTCATTTCGAACTGGCTGCTCTCTTTAGACTCTAAGTCCTTTTTGATATCTTCTATGTGTTTATCTTTATTCTGACATATAATTAAATTTTCTTCAAACGTGTTGGTGTGAACCACCAAGACGTTATTTACTCTACTCAACGCGTCCACATGTTGCATCCTTTTGCCCTCTCTATGTTCGAGTTCGTAATCGTAATTTTGTAACTCTAGCGCCCACCTGGCAATTCTTGGGTTCATTTCTTTTTTATTTAGTGTCAGCGTCAGCGAATTGCATCAGTAATAATTTTAAATTTTATGCCTTGTAGGTATACCCTGAATCTCCTCAACGCGTATACTATCGCCAGTGTTTCTAGTTCGAAACTGTGATACCTAGACTCTACATCCGTTGTACGTTTCGAGAAATAAAAAACTGGATGTAGCTTATTATCCTTTTTTCTTCTGAAGCAGTATCGCCCCGAAGCCTAGTGAACTCGCGTCGCAGTGGAGTTCTGTCGCATCACAAGGGTCGTATATCGCTAACACTGGGGAGGCTATTAACTTGGCTTTAAGTGTATCAAACGTTTCCATCTCCAGCTGACCGAATCGAAATTTTTCTTCTTTTTTCAAGAGGTCGTAAAGGGGTTTGGCTATGGTCGAAAAATCTCTAATGAACCTACGAAAGTAGGAGCAGAGTCCTAAGAAACTTTGCACTTCGTGCACTTTGGTTGGTACCGTAAAATTATCAACTGCCTTCAATCCTTTTTTGTCAGCCCGTATCCCTTCGCCCGTGATCGCGTAACCTAAATATGAAATTTCTGCCGAGAAAAACTCGCACTTATCTAATCGCAACTCTAGTTTATTCTCAACCAGACACCGAAAAACTTTTCTCAAAATGTGAATATGTTCATCTACAGTCTCTGTCGCGATCATAATATCGTCCAGGTACACAATTACTTCTCCACTGCGTATCATTTCCGAGAATATCTTATTTACAAACTTTTGAAAAATAGCCGGAGCGTTTCTTAGCCCAAACGGCATTCTTAAGAATTCAAATTGCCCTAGTGGCGTTGTAAACGAGGTATATTTTACTGACTTTTCTTCAACAAACACATGAAAAAATCCATTTTTCAGGTCTAACTTCGTGAACAACTTTTTGTTTACTAACCGATCCAACAAGTCATCAATCAGTGGTATAGGGTAGTTATCCTTTGCCGTGACTTTATTAAGTTTCCTGTAATCGACGCACATTCGGAGTTCGCCCGTTTTCTTTTTCACCAAAACTATAGGAGAAACGAATTCTGAACTACTAGGGTGAATATACTTTTTTTTCTAAGTAGTCATCTAATATCTTTTGTAGCTCTGCCTTTTCGGTATACGAAAGTCTTCGTGGAGCGCAACTGAAAACTTTTTCGTCTTCCAAAGCTAAACTTATTTCCTGCCTGACCCTAGGCTCTTTTGGTCTTTTTGCACACAAATATTCTTCTCGGAACAACTCTTGAAAATACTTTTTGTCTTTGTAACTTATTTTGTCGCTAATCATATACTCAGTTTCGCCCATTTCAGGAATTTCTATCGCTAATATTTCGTTGACGGCTTCGTTCACTATTTTGTATGTAGAACTACCACTAACCACTTCTTCTTTATCTGTGACACTAACCTTTGGCACAACCGCTGCTTTGTATGTTGAATTTTTACTGGCCACCTTTTCTTTGTTACAAACATTAAGATTCGTTACACTGTTTACAACATCTGTGTCTGCAGTTTCATCCATAAACTCTACATCACCGATTTTAAGCTTGGCTTCGCTTGCCTGAATAAAATTTCTGCCTAAAATAACTGAATAACTAATCGATTCGTCAGGAACTACTATAAGTTCAATCAACACGTTTTTATTGAGCACTTTGACATAACAAAATATTTTTCCAAAAATTGATAGTTTTGACTTATTGAGACCATAGTATGAGTTTCTTTCATCTTGTAACTGCACTCTTCCCGGTACAAGGCTCTTCTTTACAAGACTTATTGGGCTCCCCGAATCGACTAGGCATTCTATAACCATATCAATATTAAGATTATCTACGATACTAATACTAAAATAACTTACAAAATTGCTACTGGATGTCGACTTCTTGTAGTTTTTGCAGCTCGCCGCAAAATGTCCGCGTTCGCCACACGCAAAGCACGTCCCGTATTCGCGCTTAGGCTTGCTGCACTCTTTTGCGATGTGGCCGGAGCAATTGCAGTTGTAGCACCTTAGCCGCTCTTCACCACTTTGTAAATTCGTTTTTGGTGCGGCTCGTCGCGGCAACTCGACAGTCCGAAATGCTCTAGTCACCTCACCAGCACTTTTAAAATTCTGAAGCTTGGCTTGTATCTGCAATTGTTTATGAGGAATGCCGTCTACGAGGTATTCAACAAATTCTTCGTCGCATAGGTTGAGGCCAGCGCTTAACAGCCGTTTCTCGTTAGCGTAGCTACTGAACTGTTCACCAAACTTCCAAATTCGCCTTTCAAATTTTCTACGTACATTGAGAAAGTTGTCTTTCTTTGCGAATATTGCCTCCATTTCTGCGAGGATTTCTCCAACAGTGCGCATAAACATCTTGTTGGAGTTGTACCACATCAGGGCTTCGCCTTTCATTTTGAGCCGTACGACTAAACTTAACGCCTCATCGCTGACTTGTAAAACTCGCTGAAAATGGAGCAACTGAGACCGCCACATGCCAAAATCCTCGCTTCCGTCATAGTCGGCCATAAGCTCTTTCATAGTCTCCAACCCAGGCTTAGCGTTGTCTGTTGCGACCGTAAATTTCGCTCCGCCTTGTTGTAACTCTAATTTTAGTTTAAGCAACTCTATCTCCTTTTCTAATAGACTTATTTTCGTACCATCGAATTCACGGGTGTTACTTGGGCCGCACCCTAGCTCACTTGTCACGCTAACAATTTCTTGCGAAAATTCGAGCCGCTCTACGCCACTGCCTCTAATCGCACCGTCGTTGCTATACGCACCGTTGATGTTATGCGCACCATCGTTGTTAGACGCACCATCGTTGTTAGACGCACCATCGT